TTTTTTTTTATTAACTTTTGTCCTCAAAATTTTTGTACAATACATCAATATGTAGGATAGTACAAGTTTATGCCTCTTTTAATGTCTTTCCTCATTCTCTCCAATACCTTTTTTAGCTATCTAAGAGTAGCATGGCATGCATTCTTGTGTGAAAAAACAGAATGATACCATTTTTTTTTTCAATTCGAAAGTGCGGAAATGATGGCATTTTCCCTTGCCCTCGAATTCTTTTAACATCAACGAGGATGGTTTATGAGCACAAAATGCTCTTAGGCTGCGCATGACAACTTGCCAAACAGTGTTTGATTCTGTTCTTTTGTTCCCAGAATCAGTTTGGGAATAGAAATGCGTTTGTTTAATTTTTTGATTCTGGGCACAATTTTGTCAAAAATTATTCCCAGAATCAGTTTTCAAGAATAAAAAAAAAGTAGCTTCTTGATTCTGGGAACAATTTTGAGAATTAATTTTGTTTTCTTCTTCCTTTTCTTGGTTTTTAATGTAGCTTCTAATGTCAGGCCTGAGGACCGCCCTCGCCGGATTTGACGAGAACAAAATATTTTAATAAAAAATATTTTACCGGCTATGGCCGGCGACCAGGCCATGGCCAAAAAAAAGAAAAAATATATTTTTTTAATAAAAATATTTTACCTGCCATGGCCGGTGATCAGGCCATGGCAAAAAAAGAAAAAAAATATATTTTTTTAATAAAAATATTTTGATAAAAAATATTATTAATAAAAAAAAATATTTTACCGGCCATGGCCAGCGACCAGGCCATGGCCAAAAAAAATAAAAATGTATATTTGTAATAAAAAATATTATTAATAAAAAAATATTTTACAGGCCATGGCCGGTGATCAGGCCATGGCAAAAAAAAGAAAAAATATTTTAATAAAAAAAATATTTTACCGGCCATGGCCGGTGATCAGGCCATGGCCAAAAAAAATAAAAATGTATATTTTTAATAAAAAATATTATTAATAAAAAAAATATTTTACCGGCCATGGCCGGCAACCAGGCCATGGCCAAAAAAAATAAAAATATATATTTTTAATAAAAATATTTTAATAAAAAATATTATTAATAAAAAAAATAGTTTACCGGTCATGGCCGGCGACCAGGCCATGGCAAAAAAAAAGAAAAAATACTTTTAATAAAAATATTATTAATAAAAAAATATTTTACCGGTCATGGCCGGCGAGCAGGCCATGGCCAAGAAGGAGGAAAAGAAAAAAAGAAAAGAAAAAAAAGAAAGAAATATTAAAATATTTAAAAATATTATTAATAAAAAGAAATTTTGTGACGTTACCAAATGCATTTCTGTTCTTTTTCTATTCCAGGGATGGAATTTTGGGCCGTTAACAAACGCTTTAAAATGCTCAGAATCAATTCCGGGCACAGAATCAAAAAGAATCATTTCTCAGCAGAATCTGTTCCCGGGCACAGAATCGTTGTCATGCGCAGCCTTAAAGCGTTCGATAAAAGGGTCATGGGATGCTTCAAGTGCTTTTCTTTAGGCCAAATATTTCAAATGCTCTTGGAACCTGGACATTCAAAATCTGCATCTCAAGTAATAGCATAAATGATAAAATGGGAGAACATGTTGGCGGTTGAAAAGGTCAAACGGTCCGACGGTTAAGTTGGTTTGCCTCCGGACTGCTATTTGATCTCTCATGTCTCAGGACCTCTCATCGATTTTTCAGGCTACGGTTTCGGAGGAAGCACAAGATGTCTGGTGGAGATAGACCAGAAGAAATAGACACGGGGAAAGGAAAACAAGAACAAAAACAAAATAATTCCTACGTTCCAGAAGGGAGAGGAGAGAGCGCTAAGTTACTATTCGTCAATTCTAATCTTCTTTTCTCTTTCTTTTCCGAACCAATTCACACACTGCATCATCTAGTTCTTCATCAATATCCTTTCTTCTTGATTGCGAAACCCTCTAGACTCCGCAACGTTGCGGAAATTCCGTTGAGTCAAAACCCCGAGTTCTGCTTAACAATGGCAATGTGCCTGAATTGTTGTATCGAATAGTTGCTTGTGAAATTTGAATTCACCGCTAATTTATTCGGCCTAATTGAGCTCCATGGCTCCAAGCAAGATCAGAAGAGCCCTGGGGGCGGTCAAGGACCAGACGAGCATCGGCCTCGCGAAAGTTGGAAGCAGCAGTTCTCTCTCCGACCTCGACGTCGCCATCGTCAAGGCGACCCGGCACGAGGAATTCCCCGCGGAGGAGAAGCACATCCGAGAGATCTTGAGCTTGACGTGCTACTCGCGTGCCCACATCAGCGCGTGTGTTAGCACCCTCGCGAAGCGCCTCAACAAGACTCGGAACTGGACGGTGGCTTTAAAGACGTTGATGCTGATCCAGCGGCTACTGGCAGAGGGCGATCCGGCGTATGAGCAGGAGATCTTTTTCGCCACGAGGAGGGGCACCCGGCTCCTTAACTTGTCAGATTTCCGTGACACCTCGAGGTCGAATTCGTGGGACTATTCCGCATTCGTGCGGACGTATGCGCTTTACCTTGACGAAAGGCTCGAGTACAGAATGCAGGGCAGGAGAGGGAAGCGGAGCGCGTATGGAGTGGATGACGAAGAAGGTGAAGACCATGCAAGCGCTGTTCCGGCAGCTGTTAAGGCCACGCCCTTGAGGGAGATGAAAATCGAGCAGATCTTCTCCAAGACGCACCATCTGCAACAGCTTCTTGAACGCTTCTTGGCATGCAAGCCAACAGGTTGGTACCGATGACATGAAAGTGATGGTTAGCTTATTTCTTTAGCAATATATGAGATCACAATAACGTTTCCCCTGAATATTGTTGGGTTTGAGCAGGTGGAGCTAAAGACAACAGAGTTGTGTTTGTTGCGCTCTATCCGATAGTCAAAGAAAGCTTCCAAATCTACTATGAGATAACAGAGATAATGGGAATCCTGATCGATCGTTTCATGGAGCTAGAGATTCCTGACTGCGTGAAGGTGTACGAGATCTTCTCTCGGACAGGGAAGCAGTTCGAAGAGCTTGATATCTTCTATGGCTGGTCCAAGAACGTCGGAGTGGCCCGCTCTGCCGATTATCCAGAAGTCGAGAAAATAACCCAAAAGAAACTTGATCTCATGGATGAATTCATCAGGGATAAATCCGCACTGGCACGTGGTAAGAGAGAAGGACCTGTGGAACAGAAGATTGAAACTCCTGTTCAAGAATCATCCAAAGAAGCAAATGAAGAAGAGGAAGATCCAAATGCTGTTAAGGCTCTACCTGCACCTGAAAACCTCGTGGAAGCTTCAACTGGAGATCAGGATCCGGAAATCTTGGAGCCGAAGCAAGAGGAGAAAAAAGCGAATGTGCAACTAGAAGGTGATTTGTTGAATTTGGGGGATGATGCAGTCACGGGCGAAGAGCACGGGGACCAGCTGGCCTTAGCCTTGTTTGACCGCGGCGCCCCTACATCGGTGGCTACCACGACGGGTTCCCCGTGGGAAGCTTTCTCCGACAACACTTCGGATTGGGAGACGGCACTAGTTGAATCAGCAAGCAACTTGACTAATCAGAAGACGGCACTCGGTGGCGGCTTTGACATGCTGTTACTCGAGGGCATGTATCACCAAGGAGCGATGGTGGCTACGATGGGTGGGGCTGCTGGTAATGGAAGCAGCGGAAGCGCTAGTAGCGTCGCGATCGGGTCGGCAGGGAGGCCTGCAATGCTAGCTTTGCCGGCGCCGCCAACGTCAGATGGCGGTAATATGCCCACCGGGGCAGATCCTTTCATGGCATCCCTCGCGGTGGCGCCGCCGCCATACGTGCAGATGTCGGAGATGGAGAAGAAACAGAAGCTTCTGATGGAGGAGCAGATGATGTGGCAGCAATACGCAAGTAATGGGAGGCAAGGGCAGGTTGGAGTCACGAATGTACAGGCTAACTATCCATACAACATGGGAGGTTACACAAGAAACTACTGAAACGTCAGCTCACAATAACTACACAATTTGAGGCTTTCGAAGGCGTGAAGCTGATTTTGATTTTGATTTCGCAGAAACTAGTTTTTCGAGCTTTGTTCGATCGATGTTCAGGTTGGTTAATACTTTTTAATGGCTGCGGCATGGGTAACTTACCCTGTTTGCACAGCATTGTTTCAATCTCTTGCCAGAGATTTGGGAGTTCCTATCATATTGCATGACTACTCAACAGGAAATCCTGAGTGTGCCCCCTTTTTAATCTTACAATAACTTGTAATTGCTTCTAGAGATAAAACACTTTGTCTTGACTGTAGACATACTAATTGCATCGTGCATTTACTGAGTTGTTATAGTGTATGACAGGAAAGGAATTCAGTTATATTCATGCAAAAGTCTTTTGCACATTCAACTTTGCACACCCATCTAGCATTTTGGGTTTTGCGCAATTAGACTCAGATATAAAAATCCTTTGTCTTAGGCTTTAGGATTTGGCCTCCGTAGGTGATTACTGCTTGCCTAACCCTTGAAGGAGTCCAACTCAATCAGATGTTAAATCTTTTGTTTTTTCTCTGTTGGCCCTTTTGTGTGTGGGGTACTGAAACTGATATGATATATGGGTGGGGTGGGATTGGGTTGCAATATGTACCGAGCTATAGGGCTTTGTGGGTGAGTGAAAGATGGCATCATACATGACTCAATGCTTCCCTAAGCAGTCACCCACACAACCCACTGTGTATCCCTAAAGTTGCATTGATTATATCTCAAGTATTGACCCAGAAACAACAACTCCTTACTCATCCCTCAATTGTATACACAGAAAAGTAGACAAAAGCTAAAAAGTCCTGCTCATGCCTCTCAGTAATGCCTTTCCATTCTTCTTTGGGCTCCACCTCTTCCTCATTGTTGGTTCCCCCCATACATACTTCTCCTACTATTATTATTCAAGCACGTGACCATCCCTTGTATTGAAAAGAGAAAAGAGCTGTACTCTAAATTCTCCAAAACCCACAAAAGGTCAAGAGGTTTCACACAACACAAGCAAGAAAAGTGAACTTCTCAATGACTTTATGAGCATTCTTTCATTTAGTTATAAAAGGATGCCGACATTTTGCTTGCACCAAAAGTAAGCCCTAGAGAGCATTTTCCAATAAAAAGAAAAAGGAAAGTTACAAGTGCTATTCGGTATTTGCCACAATGATTCGGCCGCCCACCCAGCAGCAATAGAGCTCTACAAATTTGATTTGAATCTCTCTAGTGAGTCCCCCTAATTTGACCACGTACTATGGTTCTACATCTTCTCTAATTAGTTTGGCGTGCTTATTTCGTCAAGGTCATCCAATGACAAGAACACCTCGTCCAAGCATGAAAGCTCTGCTCCATCATCGTCATTGTCGTTGTCACCGCGCTCGTAAACTCGGCACACCACCCATTTGCTATAGTCCTGAAAAACAAAACGATTGTCAATTTTATTCTATGGCAAGGTGTCTAAGCCAATCTAATGCGTTGATAAACTGTATAAATAATATGCGGGAGAAGATGTGCATACAATCTTAGGATGTCCTTTTCTTTTGGATGACCTGCTACTGCTGCTACCAGTATCAGTACCGTTGGAGAGACGATACTCATGCATTATCCAATTCGTTCTCATCCCACCTGGAGCTTCTCCTAAGTAATACACCAACGACTGTTTCATTCCGACTTTCTTGCTCGAGCTTGCGAAAACGGGCTCGTCACCCATAGGCTTCCAGTACCCGTTGCCCGTGATCCGGTCTGGCGTCCTCCTGCTGAAGAAGTACCATTTGTTGCCCTCGGACAAGGCCTTCCCTGAGGAACAAATGTGTTATTACCACCACCAAAATGAAACCAAATATATTAAGAATAGAGTAGCTATATATTTTTCCATTCTTGTACTTAACGTGTAAACCTTTCATCAGTACTAAGAAATTTTGTGAGGCTGAGGCTGACAATAAGACATGCATGTCTTCATCTCTGCTCAAAAGAAAGAAAAAATTCAACCTATATGTATAAATTTAGGTCTACAGGTGTGTGTCGCTTAAAACGTGGATAATCTTTCGGAGGCTTTTCAGATAACCATCATGAGGTAAGTACTTGTCTATGCTAGTACCTTCGAGCTCCCACGGATTGTATGGATAAAGTTCGAGATCAGGGATGACATCGGGATGACACGGCAAGAGGGCGGCTTTCCGCTGAAGGAAATGGACGACGAGTTCTTCGTCGGTCGGGTAGAATCGAAAACCAGGCGGCAAGTTCACATTGTTATCTCCCATCGCTTCCAATCTCGGCGTCGTCGATCCCGTCTACAGACAACTAGGCGTACCCGCGTCGAACTAGAGGCAAAACAAAGGGCACTGGTCACCCAAAACGAGGAACTGCGGACGAAGAGAAGATGAAATATATGGCGAAATATGGAGTATGAGGATGAGGAATAGAGGTGGGAGTGGTGGTGGAGAAGAAGGTGGTATAAATTTATAAGAGGAAGAGAGAGAGGGAGAGAATGAAAGAGAGAGAGAGAGAGAGAGAGAGAGAGAGAGAGACTGACGTGAGGTTGAAGGTGGGCGTTGATCACATCATATGCAATTGGGCAGGACAAGTGATCTCTATCTCTCTATCTAATATCTATCTTTCTATCTATCATTGTGATGAGTGTTTTCAATTTCTATTTGGTTTTTCTTTATGTCTGTCCATCTTTGTTTAATTTTTGGGAGAGTTGGCGATCATCAGTTGGTTATGAATGAATTGAGAGGCGGCAGGTAACGCTGCTTAGATGCTTCCAATTAACGGGATCTGTGTGCATTGGAGGGAGCTTGCAGATTCAGACTTTGCTTCTCTCTCTCTCTCTCTCTCTCTCTCTCTCTCTCTCTCTCTCTCTCTCTCTCTCTCTCTCTCAATATCTTTGCTTATTTCGTAATTATGCATTCACATGCTTCATTTGTGTTATGTGATTGAGACTCCCTCTATTTTACCTAATCATCTCAATCTGAAAAGCATTTCCTCCATTTTCGAAATCGACTCGACTCCGCATCTCGACCCCGTATCAACCTGATGACCCAGATAAGAAGTACCCAAATATGTCCGGTAGAGCGGACGGTATCGATCTCTATTTCAAATTAGCCCGAAAACTAGCCAGACTCGCTATTGATGAGGGTGTTTGCGACTAACTAATCGTAGCATAATCCTAAGTTGCGTGTCTTGGATCTAAGGCAAAAGAAAGTAAAAACAAGATCATTAGCATAATCCTAAGTTGTCCACCAAAAGAGATGGGATTGGGGGAAATGAACACACACCACTAAGGATGCCATACTTCATACTTCATGCTTATATCACACACATGCTGTCATCCACGTGGCAAGCATGAGAATTTTGGGGGGGGAGGGTGAGTTTGGTCGTGGACCAACATGATTTTCCCCAACTTGGTGGTGGCCCGCCCCTCTTGGGAGTGTGCCTAAACACCCAATAGCAATTCCCACCACTGTATTCACTTATTACATCTTCTTTCTATTGCATCATGTGTACTTCAATCTTTGCCCATCTGCCCCCGCCATTATACTACATCGACACGCTAGGAAGGACACTTGAACCCATTCATAGTACACACTCTCCGAATTCCATGGCAATATGATCTGGGCGGATCCCGATTCGATGCACCGAAAACCGACGCTCTTCGCCGATAAGCATCGCTAGAGCCCAATCTCGATATCGACAAAAAAAAACAGTCAATTTAGTTAACCGACCCGAACTTGGGATTTAGGGACTAGCCAAGAGAACACCATCTCTTTAAGCAGGAGCTTTGGCATATGATCGTACTACTTAGATGTGTCGTTTGCTTGCACGTCTATGTCCCGGGTCACTGTAAAGAAGCGATTCCTCAGTTATGTCGCTCCAACAAAAAGACGAAAAGGGAAAGGGACAGCTTGAAGGAAATGGTGACACGCGCCCATCCATCGTTCCAAATTCAACATTAACTTGGAAAACCTTCCTGCTATTAAAGCCTACAGATTGTCGCCAATGGTGTTATTGTGATGTCGTCGTCAAATGTCTGTATTAAGTATTATTCCCTCAATAGCAAAGGGCACTGGGACAAGCACCGCGGTTTTCTAATAGTACGAGCAATTGAGTGGGACTCTCGGCAGTACTTATGGAATGTTAGAAGATAATAAAATTTTGGAGGGGCCTGAGGGGGGTGTTATAACATAAGTGGGATGAGATATTTTTACCATGCGTTTCCTCCTGTTTATTGGGTTCACAGATTGCTCATCGTTTCAAAACCACACATTACCCCACTTCATGCTATTTCAAGATTATCAATCTCTGATCCAAGACAATGAACAGGAATTCTGGCAAACTTCACATCGCTGAAAGCGAGTCTAGTTCATTGCATAATACCATTCGCGAGAGGGCAAACCCGCACTTGTGTGCAAAGGCAGGAGTAAGAAGTGGATGGAAACAAAAGCCATAGGCAATTGAAAGAAGCAATACTTTATCTCACCCTTCCTCGTATCATTCTTGAACACGGACCTTGGAAGTTAAAGCCGCACTAATAGCACATCAAGAGCTTTTCGCGACTATATCTAAAGCCTATTAGAGAGTTTAGGAGGGAAGGTAACTCTTCCAATAGGGGCCAATGGTGGAGATGCAACGAAAAAGCCAAGGAAGCAGGAGTACTGACAAAGACTGAATAGCATGATATAAGGATCCATTTGAAAGAGATATCCTAGTAGACTTAGAGTGCAGCAGGCATCCAAGGAAAAAAAAAAAAAAGATCCTTGAAAGATGCTTCTCTTATGTCATTGTTACTCCACCATTCCACGATCATATTGGTCATTTCAAACAGGTGAAAAACTACTGAAACTCCCACCAATGGCATACACAACAGTAAAAGACCCAATTCTGCCCTTTCCTGGTGTCCAAGGAAAGTGGACGCAAATGGGAAGATGGGAGGTTGCAAGAGATTATTTTAAACGTTCTCCATGTATAGAATAAGATTAAAAGAAAAAAGTGCTTGTTAGCGTAAACAAACGGAACAAGTGGAGCTATGTAATAATTACTATTTCTCAAATATTTGAAGCAAGAAACAATTGTAATTATCTGAATAGCGGGTCAAGCTCTAGGAGATGTGACGTATGTAATTAAAGCCATAACATCAGATTACATACAAGAACTTGAGCATCTTGAAACTTATCCAAATGTGATAGATAGAAGATGTATCAGAGTCAAGGTGGGTTAGGACAGGGACCCAGAAAAGCAAGTGATGGCTGCCATCTCTCTCTCACCCAATGTGGATTGTGGAGGCCTACTTTTCATGCCATTTGACTGGAGAAACTCTATTTCTATCTGCTCTAACTTTATCCCATCCATTTTTTACCTAACCACGTGTAAACTCTAGTTTTCTGGTTGTTATTCATCATCTTCTTCTAGTTTAAGGAAAGCAACCCGTAATCACCTCCAAAGTCCAATTATAGAAAACAAATTGCAGGTCCTCATGTGATAAAGAACTGAACAGGAACTGATAAGACGGAGAAAGCATGTGCTTTCGACTGCCTAATGGGAAGATGGCGGCGTGATCTACGGAGGCTCCTTAGTGTGTTTGGACTTATGACAATGCTGTGTTCACATTTAGTCCATCGGCATGACATATCGAACAAAATGCACAAAAGAAAAATCCCACAAATAACAATAAAAATAGATACGTCACTCAACCAAAACAATCCATTTAGACCTTCTGAAGGAATGTCTAGGGTTTCTTCGAATTTTCTCGTTTTTGTCGAAAGAAAGGAGGAACAAAGTTAGGCTCTCCCACTACTAAAATAGGTTGGCAAGATAATGACTCCAAGACTTTTCCAAAGTGGTAGCAAGAGATTGATTGATTGATTTTTTTTTTTTTTGCGGCTGATGGGAGTGATACCGCTGACCTGTCAGCTCAAGAGAATGACAACCGCAGCAATTACAATAGGGAAGGGAAAAGCGAAGCTACCACTTTATACACCAATAGGTTGCAAATCGATGCCCATTCTTTACATTTTCTCAAGTGAGCTCCGGCTTGGTTTTCATCTTGGCCTGATAGAAAGTTCTACGAATATCTAGAGATAGATAGTCCCTGATCTTCTTAAGCAAAATGTCAACTAGCACACAAATGAATAAAAATAGTGACTGAAATAATAAAAAAAAAGATCTCTCTATTTGAAGCTTCATTTTAAGATGGCCAAATATGCAGTACAGGACGTACCCTGAGAGTATACCTCATCTCGAGCTCACGAATGATTAGCTCCTGAACTTTTCCAGAGGGATGCTCAGGCTGGGTTTGCAATCATCTGACGTGCACTTAGCTGCTCATGTATCCGCCTGAATTTCTCTTTCAGCCTCTTGATCTGCAATATCACTAGCAATTTTAACGAGAGGAAATACAATATCTGATGCTTTGTTAGGCCAAAAAAAAGGGAATATTAGCATACCCTTTTCAACTCTATCTCCACATCATGCTTCCTTTGCCCCAATGAGTGCCGCAGGTTGGTCATATCAAATACATTATCTATATCATCTTCAAATGCAGATTCTAGGTCCTCGCGAAGCAGTGCAGGAAGCTTGTCTATGACGGGCATCAGCAGAAAGCAGTTAAACTGTAATGTGCAGATGCAAATAGTTGAATCAAATAGAGATAGGACGTAAGTTATTGTTGCCTAAAACAGTTAAATGAAGTTTCAAGTGGCACTTGAGCTCATTAGATTCCAATCACTGCTAATAGTGGCAACAAATAAGTGACACTGAAGTAAACCTAAAGCTTTTTTTTTTTTTTTTTTTTTGGTAACCAAGTAAACCTAAAGTTAAAAGCCATTGCAGCTAAGAATTCCTTGAAAACCAGATTTTATTTTTATTTTTAGCTTTGTCATGAAGAATTTTTCATAGAAGTTGAGAGTAGAAAAGTGAAGTTTGTCATACCTTCAGCTCTGCAGAAGCCAAAAAGTATTCTCTTATGCCATGGAATATCTGCTGCACAAGAGCATATACAAGTCTTTCAGAAGAAGGAGCAAGCCTCCGGTTCCAAAGAGTACTATCTAGAAGGTCAGCTAGCCTTGTTTCTGTTGTCTGAATACAGGTGCCTGAGTCATTTCCTGAAGCCAAATGACTCAATTTGACATCTGATCTATGCTTTATTTCTGGCTTCTCATCCGAAACTAACCCTAATGTTGTTTCCTGGGAAAAATTGCCTGCACCAGGCTGCTCTGTTCCACCAAATGAGTCCAGGAATTGGCGTAACCCAGCACGATTCTGCAATCATTTATAGAAATCAATGAGCAAAGCAGATTACATTGATTATCAGATAACTATTCAAACTATGGGATCAATAACCTGGATTCCATATGTTACAGAAGTCAATACTGATCACTTGTCATTAATTCAGTACCCTTAAGAGGCACATGTTTTCACAGTACATGAGGACAAGAAAGGGATTATCATAATCACACCTATTTGCTCATTCTCCCACCAGCAGGACACGTTTCTTTGATATAAAAGAAGATTGCTCTTGGCAATGGAAAAGGAACTAATGTAGTGCATTTGAATTCCTATGTTCAAGTTGCTAGGGAAAAGGAGAATAGGAAATAGTATAATTTGACTTCTTATATCTATACCACACCTGCAATTACCTCATTGTAACAATACAAACTAATCAAATGAGCAACAATGCAGCAGGATTTTTCACCTTGTTATGAAGGGACCAGGTAACGTAGCGTGTGGTGCTGACTAAATCCTCCATACATCTACAATATCATCACATTCAATAAAATTAGTACATACTAGTGTAAAACACGAGGAAAATTTGAAAGAACAATGACAACTCAAAAAGTGAAGGCTGTGCATAAGAAGCATGAACCACAAAACGAGGATCCAGCAATCATTTCATGTGATATTGTTCAAACTTTTGCTGGCAACCAAAATGCTGCTTTTCGAGCTGAAAAAATGTGCTTGGTAAACATTCGATCACGTTTCTTATCAGTTTTAAAGTTTTGGGAAAATGGTCTCTTGACACGATATCAGAGCACAAGTCAAGTGTTGTAATCCTCATTCATTATCATTGTCCTCTGTTAACATAGCGTGTAGGACAGATCTGCGTCCCGAATAAATTTCAGCGAAACCCAGTCAAAGAAGGAGATGATCTAGCCTTTTAAGTGCCATATCAGATATTATTTACAACCCTGAGCAAAAATCACATTCTAAGAACCTAGTCGCTACTTTTGGACTATTACGTACCTAAGTGAAAATATTGTCTAATCTGCTAATCCTGTTCATACACTAACATAGAATTTGTCTTATGTAGAAAGTAACTCAGATGTAACTAATCAGAAGCAAAAAAATGTAGCTTACTTCTCGCGACAAGCTCTTTCAGTGGTCTCTGCAAAGTTGTTGTAGGCAGCAGCAACACGCCTCAGAAAAACCTCATGTCCACTAAGATACTCGCCATCTTTCTGTCCAAATAAAAAGGGAATGTATTGCAAAGTAGAATAAACAGCGGCATCAATCAGAGAAAAGAAGTAAGAGTGCTTGAGATATAGAGTACTGAAATGGACGTTGCAATTTGTAAGGTGTACCTGAAGCAGATAAACAGAGATAGGAAGCAATCTCTTAAGAATGTGCAATAGCCGGGCACCTAACTGCAACATTAAGAGAGAACACTTAGCGTGGCATACATTCTGAACTGAAACTATGCCATCTTTTTTTGTCCTTCAGTAGGTTCATCCAAATTTGAAATTACTCGTGATCAAAAGAACAAGAGGTAAGGGACCTGTAGAAGAAGTCATAGGTTGGAAATGGACAGACAAATGGACAAATAAGCAAACTCAAACCAAGAAGCCTCTACATTACTAGCCACGAGAAAATAGTCAACCCCCTTCAGAGTAGTGCATCCCAAGACCACTGAGTACCATATTAAGATAGATGAGAAGACAAGGAGAAAGGTACAACTCAACCTTAGCCATGGGATAAAGAAGGTGACAAACAAGAAGCCTCAAGCATCCAGTAATTAAGCATCTCCATTGGCAGGTATTAGTAAACATTTTAAGTTAGCAACAAGAGCAAACCCATGCATAAAAAAAAATATTTAACAAAATAAGAAATCGAGGGCAGCCATCAGTTTTTTTGGCAATGAGAAAATTTGGAAGCATTGGCTGATACCAAAAACACTACTTTTGGGGAACAAGTTGAAAACATAATCACATATCCTATATGCAGTCATTTGGCAAATTTACCTGATGAAGAAAAGGTTCAAATGTATCGCGAGCCTTCGCAACAGCTATTACACAAGCAGTCCTGATTAGTAAAAAAAAAACCTATGTGACAATGGAAAGTGGAAAATATGGTCCAGAAATATAAAGGATTCTATCAGGCCAGAAAGACAACTATTACCTAGAATAGTTAGTTCCATCATGGATATCTTCTACCCCACATGCATTGACAATTTCCTCGCGAGTAATTGGCGGACATTTTGTTCCTCCAACAACAAAGCGGAATTCAGCCATTGCGCGATGATATTGAGCGCCACCATAAAGACGCATTCCAGCATTCTAAGCAAAGACAGAACATTTTGTCCATGTAAAGTGCTATATCCTCAAGCCTTAGTTGTTCTTTGAAAGAAGACCAGTATATAACTCATGCAACAACATTCATTGCACTAATATCTTCATGCAAAGCATATTTTAAGACCAGACCAGGCTTTCTTCCTTGTAACTTTTCAAAAATTAGTTCAGAGGAAATTTAAGAACAAAAGGCAGACAAGAAATTCTGTTATAAAAAGTCTTCGAAACATTCTCTGTACCAATATAAAGAAGTTGGTTATCCGGAAGCATTCTTCAGAAGTTTCTGCAAATCAATTACTTGAGAACCAAAACAGGAACGAGTTGCAATCTTTGTTTTATGTTAAGAAAACAATCCATTGGAAAGATTAAAGTATTTCAAAAGCAAACGAATCTAAAATCTTACACCCAGTTGCCTATATAGTAGATGTACTTCCTTACCTTCAACAAAGGGTAAACAACACGAAACGCATAGGATTGACCCATTATTTTTTTAAGGGTAGGGGGATCAGGATTGGGTTGGCTGAAACCCCATAATATGAATTTTGTGGAGCAAAAGAAAACTAGAAAAAGGCACCGTCGGTTCTAGAATCTAGATTACTCGTTTTTGTGCTTTTAGCAAGTATAGCTATTTTTAGATGCTCAAAACCCAGGTAGGATAAGCACATCATGCACCTCGACTTTAGAAGCTTACGGGTATAAACTTTTGTGGAAACTGCAGACCATCAGTACCAATAAAAACCCCGCCATTAGTCCTTTCATCCTGTAGAGTTTCACCTGCAATAGAACAAAAGGCCACCATAAATGAATTTTAGACAAGTTTTCATAATAGAGTCGCATAATTCTGCTCAGTACACTTATTACTGTCACAAAGAAAAATGAGTTCATGTGACTTCAGGGAGAAAAACAGAAGCGTCTAGTATCCTTACTTTTACCTTTTTCCTCCGTCAAGGTACAAGTATCTGCACACCGTGATGGAGGAAAAAGGTAAGGATGAGAAACCGACTTGGAATCTGGAAATGTGCACCAACAAATTTTTCTTTTTTTTCACTTGGGAAGCTGCCTGCAGAAGCATCCTACCTTGGACAATTTGCAAAAACTAAGTGAAGTGTTGGTGAACTGGTGTTGCCTTTGTAAACAGGCAGCAGAATCTGTTGACCGTATCTACTAGATTGTTGTTGGTCTAGGGATCTTTGGAATCTGGTCATGTTAGTTTTGGGTTTTCAGTGGGTGAGCAGACTTAGTGAAGAAAGAGCTAAGAGCTTGGTTGGGCATCCGTTCTAGCAAAGAGAGGGGAAAGATGATTTGCTTAATCCCTTTAGCAACTTTTCGGCTTTGGAGGGAAAAAAAATAGGAGAATTTTTTATAAATAACATCGAGAGCCATTTTGTAAAAACTTTGGATTCTTGGCCTTTTACTATGAAGTTATGGATCACACATAGCACGAGTCTTGATGTAAATGCTATCATTGACCTTTTAGACTCCTTATCCTGTAGATGATTTTTGTACATGGGTTGGCATCCCCTTGGTGCCTTTTGTTGATACACTTTTACTGTTTGACAGAAAAAAAGCATCTACTATCACGCTTTATGGAACTTGATGAGCTCATTATGCATCAGGTACAGGTGGACCCATGCAAAAATATACCAATTGACAATGGAAATTAAGCGAACATATAGAGGGGAGGAATGAATTAGAATCAAGCGATCAGAAATAAAAATGCAGAGCCATCCAAGTAATAGTGAGTTATTACCAAATTTGTCAGGAGGTGCAACCACAGTTCCTTTGAGTAGCAATGACAGCTGAACATTAATTTCATTACAGCACACTTTAGATAGAGAAGAAAAAGTGTAACAAGAACAAAGAAAATCAATCACTGAGAATTGCAGTATGCTACCCTTGCACATGCATAAATAAATGGTTTTTTAAAAATCAACATAAAGAGTTTTAAATTACATGTCCTCAATTCCGGCCTTTCCATGAGATGGTGAAACACTAAAGAATGATAAAACTGTAAACGGGACACAAACCTTGGTCAAAAAGAGATCATGAAAAGTTCTTCCCTTCTCTTTCAGTTTTGCTTCATCCAATGTGCTGCAAACAACAACAAAACTAAAATTGCACAGAATCCAAAGTGGCATAAAAACCAATATCTAAACAACCCCTTCCTGCCAACCTTAATAGCAGGGAACCACGAGTGTCTGTTAAAAAAAATGAGTGACAATTAAACCGATCAAGAGACCGTGATCACTACCACAATAGTATAGTACTCTCCAAGCAATGACAGGATCTTGACATCTAACCTCAGTTCCTGATTGATTTCATTTAGCTTTCTTGTTGCAGAGCAATGCTCCTTTTCAAGAAGTGGAATTATCATTGGGACATTGTCCATGTACCTGAATAGCGTATATTTTCCAAACTATAAGTTCAAGAAACATAGTTTGACCACCAAAAAGGGTAATTTTCATCAGAACATACCTTTTCTGAAGCAACTCTTCTAAGAATAGTCTCAGTTTGCTCACACCTATACGACTTTGTTCTTGCTTGGACAGAGATCGCCCCAACTTCTCCTCCAAAGACACGACATCTTCGCTCTCTCTTGAAGATACGGCCTGTATCAAGATGCAAAACCAAGTAGCTCCTTTGAGATTTAGCAAACCACATTTCTTACACAAAAAGGACTCAAAAGTCAATATTATTAACATGCATCACACAACTGATAGTTCTAGTGAAATACTAATGTAAAGCACACAAAAGATTTTCCTTCATCTAAGATCAAGCAGACGAAGGTGCATAATGCGAGAACAAATTGTTTGAGAAATTAAATGGCAGAAATATTAGAATTCCATCATTTAGGTTAACCACACCGATTCACATCTGAAAGTTCGAGGAAGAGCCACGTCAAAATTTAGTAAACTTCCACCAGGTCAGTACATTACAAGATCCTGTCCAAGAAGGAGATTTCACTAGACAAATAAACACCTTTTTGAACTCATCGTTTGATCTGTAAACTGATTCATGTCCAGGGCCAACTCTTCCAGAGGGGACAGAGGTGAAAAATGGGGAGTCACCCAAGATGAAGCCATCAAGTGTACAGGCTGGTGGTGAAAGGAAAACTTCAACATCTGAAGATCGCGCAAACTGTGGTATCTTTGTGTCCAGCTTGGTTGAGACAATTATTGTTCTCGAAAGCTCGGGATCAATCTGTAACAACCAAATGTATACGTGATGAACCAAAATTTGAAGTTCCTGCACTTCATACCGAATGACATTTATCCAGTTTCCTTACTTGTTGCTAGAACAATTAGGCAAAAAGTCCACTTGATTGTCATCAGAAATAGAGATGACAATCACATTCTGCTTATACACCAAAACTCTATGATGTTTGTGTACTTCAAAATATTTGGAACAACAACTGGGGAAAAATTTGAAAATGTCAAGTAAAGCTAATAGTGTTATTTTGATTTTGCAATAACCCTTCATTGACTAACAAATAAGTTCAATATTTGCTTTTCTTTTGCCTGGATAATTTCCCATCTTCAGGGGAAAGGTTGAGCCTCCAACTTAGGACAACTCTTGCTAAGGATCTCAACATTAAGGAGATTGAGGTAAAAAAGCATTTAGAATGTGAAGTATAATATCAGTATTATACTTGCATAACCACTCTCCGTGTGGTAGCATTGCTCCAGTCACTGCAGTCTTCAAGGCACAGTATAATGAACTCCTTATGCTGCATTTTGGCTCGCACTAGTGACTCAACTGCACGAGCTTGCCCCTTCAGGAGGAAGACACAATCACGATTATCTTCATGAGCAAAAATTACCAAGGCAGGGAAGTTTAGAAACAAAATCATGCAGAGTCTCTTTCACTAGTCAATTGTCCCCTTTCCTGTACATTACCTGTAATGCTCGATTCTTCCGACCTGGAGCAGGAGCAATGAGTCCTGGAGTATCTATTATCGTCAGATTTGGGCAATACTTATACTCCACTTTGATGATGATTTCCTTGGAGGAAAACTGACAAGGTTCGCGCTCCAACCTCATGTTCTCAGCTTCGATGTAAGCCTACAAGTAACAATAGACAATGTTAATGAAAAATGGCAACTTTTCTAGACACAGTGCAATGCATCTGCAATTCAACGCAGTTCAGCAAAACAAGCCAATGCGCAGGATAAGTGCAAAGTAAATAAAGCTAATCTTATCGAACAGAACTCCAGATTTTGGAGACAAGAGTCAAGATCACATTTTAAGCACTGTCACTCCGCAGTCATCTCTCGAAATTCGTCTATTAATATGATAGTATATCGCATTTTGCAGATTGAAGGTTTAACATGGAGTAAAACAGGAGACATATTGCTATCAAAATGAAACTGAAAAGCAGATATCCTAAAACCAAACCGGCAGGCAGGAGAAGTAATGCCTGCATTAACCAAAGACACCTCTTCGCGATATGGAAATGACGCTGAAAGGCGAACCAGAATCGAAAATCAAAGCGCCAAGCCAGAAACTTCCAAAGATCCAACCAAAAGGATCGACCTTTATCTATGAACTCTCTTCACGAACAGCTGGTGATAACTAACACACACACATTGGGAGTCGGAGTTCAGCCCACAAAACGAACTGCAGAAACAAGATTCACCAACCAAATGCAGCACGGCACACTGCCTGCCCGCCACAACCTACGCAAACGGGGACGACCCAAATGGGCGAGAAAGGACAACCTGAATTTCGTGGAGGGAGAGGTGCTGGGAGAGAGCCGGGGGGTCGGCGTCGGAGACGAGGCGGCAGAGCGGGTCCTCGCAGGAGGGGTCGAACTTCATGTGGAGGGTGATGGGGCGGCGGGTCTTGGTCCCGCCGCCGACGTGGTTGAACTGGAAGCCCATGAGGGCCTCCACGAGGGCGCTCTTGCCGTCGGTCTGGTGGCCCACCACCAGCACCGCCGGGGCGTCGAACGGCGTGTCGAACTCCTGTGCCAGCCCGTGAAGCTCGTTGTACGCCTCGTACAGGCTCGACTGGTTGCCGCCGCCGCCGCAGTCCTCCGTGGCTTCTCCATGGCCGCCAGCGCAGCTCGCCATCCTCGCGTCTTCTTCCTCGCTTTCTGTTCTTCTCACCGATTTGAGTGGCAGCTGCCGCTGCTGCTGGGACACCCCCCCCGGATATCACGTTTGATTGATTTATTTTATTTTCTTTTTTTAATCTTTCTGGAAAAAAAAGGCGCCGTACGTTCGCTCAAGTTTTTGGCCAAGAAAAAAAATCGGCTGAATTTAATTTTCCTTTTTATTCTTTATGTTGAATGTAATTTCTTTTTTGTTTGTTCGGCCAAAGAATTAAAGGTTAATACCAGGAAAAATTTATCTCAAACTGATATATTTGTGATAAATTTACTCTCCGTTAAATTAGATTAATATCAGGAAAAATCACGAAATGGTACACACGTGACAAACGGAGGGTAAAGCTCCAAACTGATACACGTGTCATCCGATAAAGCCCTAAACTGATACACGTGTCATCCAATCTAGAAATTTGACTGTAAAATTTAATGGAAACTAACTGAGGGTAAATTTGTTACATGTGCACCAGTTTGGGATATTTAGTGGTCAAAAAGTTATTTTGGGGTGAATTTATCATAAATGTACCGGTTTGGGATTTTTCGTTGTATAAACCCAAGAATTAAATATGTGAACTTTTTTTCTTTTTGTGGGTTTGTTTGCGAAAAAAAGATACCCGGGACCTAAATTATCTCTCGGATAAATGTTGGTGCATTTTTATGTAATACTTGAAAGTTGCGGCCAAATTTATCATTCAAATGAAAGATGTTGCCTTTTTTGAGTAACGCTTCGAATTTATCACTATTTGCTCGTTATCTTTTGGTCATGTTTATTGATCCTTTTCCTCTTTTGCATTACTGGGCCATCTTATTTTGAATCAACATTCAGTCTCACGTGAATCAATTAATTTTTTTTTTTTTGGATAAGATTAGTTCAAGAAAATAAATTTAACAAAAATATCAAGATATGACTGAAAATTGAACGATTGAAGTTAGATTAATAAAACTCAATTTGGTACGCGACATCCCAAAGAAAAGCTCGTTTTTTTTCGCTTAAATTCGGATCAATGCCCTATCTTTGAGCAAAGCTTCGGCTGCCAATCTCCCCGAAACCAAAGCACCATCGAATGTGGCCGATGTCACATAATCCCCGCACGCGTACACGCCCGACCCGACCCGCGGATCCTTCGTCAAGTCGGTGGGCGGGCACTGGTTCGGCTGCGCGAACGCGATCCGGTAAGTCCTTAGGTGCCTCCAGGAACCCACCGCCGACTCCCCGAACCAATCGGCAAGCTCCCGAACCACCTGGGCCGCCAAGTCGTCGTCGCTCGCACCCTCGAATAGCCCGATCAACGACACGGACACCAGGGCCTTCCCGGGCGGGCCGTAGGACGGAGCCACATTGGTGGCGAAGAACATGTTGTTCACGATCCCCTTACCCGATCCATTGAGGAAAAGAACCGGGTCTTTGACCGGGATCCGGTCCCCGTCCGCCGCGAAATACAAGCAAACCGTGCTTCGCGGCGGTTTTCTGTCGGCCTTCATTCCTTTGTATTTTCCCGCCAAAAGCTTAGCGGCTTCCGGTTCCTCGACCGCAACGATCACTCCGAGCTCACTTCGGAGAATTTCTCCACTCTCCAATCTCAAAACCGGCGAGCCGGACTCGTCGAATTCGATAGACTCTGCTTTGGTGTTCAACAAGATCGATTCTCGCGGCAATTTGAGCGCCAATTGCTCGGGAATGGCGGCGATCCCTCTCGCGGGAAGAGCGTTGTCTCCGAGAGCGAGGCACTTGAAGACGAATTCGAACAGCCTAGAGGTGGTCTCGAGCTCCTTGTCGAAGAAGATCCCTCCGAAGAAGGGCCTGAAGAACCGATCCAGGATCGAGTCCGAGAATCCTAATTCCGTCAACAGGTCAATCGTCCGTACCTCATCGGCGGTGAGAATATCCCGGTCCGACCTGCTCAGGACCCGAATCCTCGTCAATCCGATAAGCAATTTATCCAGGACCGAACCGATCGGGTTGGCGAGGGTCTTGATGGAGTCGGAGAAGTGCCTGACGGGGTCGGCCACCGTGTGGAACCGGCCGCCGTAGTAAACGCGGGCGCCCGAGTAGAACCTCCGGAGGTCCAGGGCCCGGTAGTCAAGCAGCTTCCGGGCTTCAGGGTAGCCCGTGATGAAGATCTGGAACCCGCGGTCGAGGAGGAAGCCGTCGACGAGGTCGGTCCGCACGCGGCCGCCGACCGCGTCGGAGGCTTCCAGGAGGAGGAAAGGGACGTCGTCGGAGCGGAGGCGGGCAGCGGCGGCGAGGCCGGCGAGGCCGGCGCCGACGACGATGACCCTGGGCGGAGGAGGGGATTGGGATACAGGGTCGGAGGAGGAGGAGGTGGGGAGGTCGGTGGCCGGAGCTGCGCGGGGTCTGAAGGCGAAGGACGACGAGAGCCTGGCGGGGGGCGGCGGAAGCGAAAGGCGGGGAGGCGAGAAGAGAGAGGGCGTCATCTGGAATCATACGGCGGAGGAAGAGCAGTTTTTGGTGACGTGGAGGAGGGAGTGCTTGTCCGATTCCAGGAAATCCATGGCGGAAGAGCAGCCGAGCTTTGAAGATGAGTTGTTGTGGCTGTGGTTTCTGCTCGGGGAGATGAAGCGGATGGGAGAGCTGGGGATGATGAAGCTGAATTGGCTTATCCATTGCCACGTCAGAAAAATGAGGAATTATTTCCGAGAAAATATCGCGTACAACTTATTTGCTTGCCATGTCACATTTCAGATAGACCTTAATGATCGCCACGTGTCTGAGTGGGGCCCACTTTTTCAGATTTCTTCTCTCCTTTGTTATTCTCTCTCTTCTTCAAGAAAATATTCAATGATTTAGTATTACTGCGTCATACATTTTTTACTTATATCCACTTAGATATTGACATGTGTACATTAATGTGAAATTAAATATAAAAATTAAATACTTATTCAAAGAGACTGTTCAGACATGGAAGCTTGCTTTGCTGCTGAGAGAGATAAACTTCGTCCGTAGTCAGTGTCGTTAGTCCAAAGGGCTTTGAACAAAGGATGAGGAATAGAGATGGAAAAAATCAGATTTTATCTTTTTTTATTTTATACCATATCAGCTGCTGACGTGGTATTATGAATGCATGTCAACTTATGAGTGTATCGTGAGTAGGAAAAATGAATGCCACATAAGTTAGCCGTGATTTCTAATCGCGGAATATTTTCTTATTTTCTCTTCCATCCTTACACACTCCACACCATGAATTTGACACAGAATCCGATTCCAGTAGCTTCGGATCTAGCCACGACCGGCTCGTCCACAGCCCCGACTGGCGAGTTCAAGATCCCGACCGCCATGAGGAGTGGGCGGGCATTTATTGCGAGCTCAAGATCAAAAAGAAAAAAAGAGGAATCAGATCCGAGCCCACCGCAACCTCATCCTAGAGCCCATCGTCGAGCCATAGCCGCCCGCCCGCCCGCCCACCGGGGACTACCTTCCCTCTGCCTTTCTGATCTGAAGTCTCTCCTCCAAGTGACCCTTTGGCTAGGAGGGAGCTTCCCATATCTTTTTCGTCCATATGGCTATGGTTATTTGATTGACGAAGCTTGTTAAAGCGCAAAGTCATGTTGTTTATGAAAGGACCTTTTCCTAGTATGAGAAGCTTGGAAATGAGGCACATGTGGGGTACCAGTTACCATCCCCTAGATATTAAACAAGTTGCTTTCCCCCTTTTCTTTAATTTTCTATATTTATTATTATCGTTATTATCATGATCATGATCATAATTTTCTATGGGCAAATTCCAGCTCTATGTTTTTTCCCAATAAAACTTCTAGTTTCCGGGTTAATCAGGTTACCATGTAGTCTCTCAATTAACAATTCCAAGGTCCATAGCACAAACTGGAATTGTTATCCGTAAGTGTGAGGTGTTGCGGCATCAGCAGATTAAAGTTCACTCTGAAATGGCTTAACTATACCCTTCTACCTTGCATTTGGATGGAACCGTTCAACTATGGACTGTAGATGGAGGTGCTTGGTCGGGTTCTTCTAATGCTTGAATCAGATGTTCCGAAGTTCGGTTCAATTGCTATACTTATCGAACCGAATGAAAAAGGATGTACTTGTGCTGATCTAGAGAAAAGGAGACATACACCATAGTGCATTGTAACCTTAGCATATTGAGACCAACTTTATGCATAGACGATCTTTGGTGCAAATGAGTATCTCTACAGAAAGTGCAACAGAACAACTATTTTCGCCAATGTGAGGTGTTCAATCTCGTAACTGGGCACTGTATATGTGCCGATAATGCTTATTCGCTTATGAGGTGATTTGATTTCTTTGTTCGCTCTGGCCCGCAAACACGAATTACATCCTCTTATTCAGCTAGGGATAATGTACTTATATGTAGAGAGGAACACAGGAAAAAATGTTGAGCGCAGAAATCCCGCAGACTGCTGCCGTAGAGAAGGAATTGTTCTCTATACAGTGACTACTATAACCACCAGTGTGATCAAGACGGTTTGTATACAGTAAGAATCTGGAGTCCATGGCAATGTGTTATGTACATGCATCAACCTGAATCAGATATGGGTATGTATCCAGGTCAGAGGAATGTTAACGATAGCCCAGAGTTGCTGGCTTTGTAAGAGGGGCGCTGAGTGATGCTGAAAAGGCATTTGCCTCAATGTCGAAAGACTAGTAGAAACAGATGCTGGAGGATGGCACAAACAAAGTGGAGCTTTATGGGCTGCATATTTCAGTGAAGACCGGCAACCTCTTTGTAGTATGAGACTGGCCATACAGAAAATGTTGAATGTATGTATCTACATCTTCCCTTGATGGCGATACACCAGGGTGAGAAGGTAAAATGATCTGAATGCCATCATCGTGTGGTGACCAGTCGCGAGGGGACATTGTTCTGCCAGATGAGCTGTGGATTTGTCGGGGTCTATTGGTTGCAATGGTCGCCATTTCTACTCTTGTGAATACTGTTCTGCTCGCCTGATCAACAGAGAACCCTTTAAAAAAGCTATGTGATGTATTGTAAACCATTGTCCATGAGTAGTTCGCCTAAACTATCTTGAAAACGATGTAATCATCATACATGTAACTTTATAGTTTGCTGTTTGTGAGAAAGAACATTTCATACCTCAGGGTTGATCTTCATGGCAAAAGGGGAGAACCGCTGAGCCTGCTCTTCTTTTCCATGAGCATGCTGCAAATGGGATAAAGATGCAACCGTTAAATTTCCAAAACATATGAACATAGGACAATTGGAACTGGAATTGTGGATTGACAGCTGGTGGCAACCATGATTTGTCAGGGGCAACATTACCAGCATATATCTGACTGCAGCACAGTTTTACATCGTGAAAAGGACTTGAAAGCAAGGAAGAAAAGAGAACTCCTCCATCGTATGAAAATGTGAGGAGAAGACTCACATGCCGTTTGGCGCCATAAGAGAAGAGACAATTCTCCTCTCCTGCTCGATAAGTTGGCCTCTTGTGGCGACTGTTCCCTGAAGAGGATTCCCCAGAATCCGATGTCAGTAAGACACCATCCACCACCAGTGTTTCCTCCTCCATATTAATCCTGACCGGCGAGATGGAATCATTATTCTCCACAGCTGATGATGGAGATTTGGATAACAGAAGCTTGATGATAGGTGAATATGTATCGATGTTTTGATTCATCTGGAAATGCCTTTGGCGGCTTCTCCCCTGCAGCAGATTACCGTCCATTGTGCGCGTGTTGATCACAGGAAAATTTCCCATTAATTGCCTCATCTTAGCAAGTCTCGATTTATGGCCATAAAGGTTTTCCATGAGGCCGCCTTCTCCTGCTTTCCACAGAACAAACATGTAAGTTTAACTATGTTTCATTCAGAGATCATTTCACCTGGAAAACCTCTAAATGATTACATATCTAGTACATCTCCTTGGAGAGATAATCACGACTAAATCGAATAGACTTCAATTTCAAAAGACCCAGATTGGGATTTCGCTATGGCTCTCCACATGCAAAACTCTAAAACGATTGAAGCTGATCGACCTACTTCTCATCATTAGTTTCAGACGGCAAATTTATGATCAATATCCTTGAGTTTTTCATTGAAACTGAAAGCTTGAGTTTTGGGAAATTTAACGTAGCATTTAGTTCCTGTAACACCCAGAAAGTGGAGGGCAAAGAAATTAAATGCGAGGAAAACGATTGATGTGGATCTAGACAAAAACAATTAGTGTATATGAACCGTCTCTTTGCAATCAATTTAGCCATAAAGGCAACAGGTGAGAGTACTAAGCAACTCAAGCGGCTTCTTCACGCAGATGTCAAAAACCCCAATGGCGTTATTCAGAGAATTACTATCAGTCATGACGCACTTAAATAAGCAAATAAACTGATCCCATCTAATTGCTCTTGTTTTCACAATTCCTTTTGACTCCGAAGTCTTTACTACTCCGAAAGTTGCGATTCCCGCCCAAGTTTGAATTTTGACGACATGCTCCCAGAAAGAAAATCAGAAATCAAACCAGGAGCGATCCATGAAAACATGGAACGTGACTGACAGAGCGAGCTCAAATCCTAATCCGAACAGCGGATTCCGGCGAACATCTACTGAGGAGCTTGACAAAAACTCATAAAGCTAGGGGATTCGTATAATGGATCCTAGCTTCATGCCTCTGGAAGACGGAAGCAATCCAGAGGCATCGTGACTCGCGATGTGCTCGATGCCAAGTTTTGCAGGAGCACATACGCAAAAGTAGTCAAGTCCGACCGATGGAACGATAACAAAAGGAACGAACTTGAATCCACGAAAATGAACTCGCGATGAGGAAACGAAGCTCGGCATATTGAACTCTTTAACAGCCATCGTCCAAAACTCCCGCAACCTCGCGTTTCCATCGCTTCCGTATGCCTATTCCACCCACTGCCAGAGCAGCGATCAAAAACCTCTGAAGCTACTCACTTCCATTCTCGTTTCTAGCTTACCTGGAAAAGCTTTCGCCGCCGAACCTCGATCTATCTCCGGCAGCTCGCGCCTGAGCTCGATTATCTCTGCAACTAGAAAAGCAGAGGAGGACGAAGAGAATCGATCATCAGCGACAATCTCAAGCGCAGAAAGAACTCGAATGACCGAAGCTACGTAGTTGCAGATGAATCACCTGCGTCGAGAAGGACAGAGCAAAACCTAATCCCGAGAGCATAGCGGCCGAACAAAACCAGAGAGGAGGAGGATGAGGAAGGAGGAGGAAGGAGGAAGGAGGAGTAGCGAAGTGTTCCGCATATATATACGTAAGTGACGCGGTGGGCCCCGCGCTGCATCCCTTCTAATTTTGATTTCGGATTTGATATTTTTTATGCATTGTAAATGTTTTTGACCTTGTTCGATCCACAGCATGTTTGGAGAAGAACCACCGAAAGACAAATAAACAAAAAAAAAAAGTATTGTCAGGGGCAGGGCATATGCTATAGATAATCGTGTAATTACCATGAGAATATTGTCATTTTAACCATCCTTAATTCATCGGAGAATTTGCGAAAAGAACAAACGTTGCATGCTCGAAAAAAAGCGGGAGGTTCCGTGGTGAAATCACGGGTTCATCTAAGTCTGATTGCAATGACAGTTCGATCCGTAACGAGTTTGAGTTTGGGTTTGGTGCAAGATTCAATTGGTTCACCCGGCATGAGATGGTGAGTTTGAGTTTGGTATGAGATTCAATTGGTGCACCCTACATGAGAGGGTGAGTTCTCAATTTGCTACAGTTGATACAGGGCTGCGTTTTGCTGAGCTTAGGACTTGCTGAAAAACGGTCCCGCCATAATCGTCTGGTACTCTAGAAACTTGGAGACTCAAGATATGCCAAACCAGCTCAAAAAAGTGAGTTTTAGACGGAGAAAGGGAGTGCAAAGGAGAGCAACAAAGATGGAAGTGTTCTCATACAACAGATATCCCAATAAATGTAGCCAATTGTTCTTATTGGTATTCCCAAGCTTGGCTTTGTTGGGAACTTAATTTTACCCAAAAAACGAGACATCACATTGAAACAGGTCTCAACAACAAACCCACAATACAGAAACCTATTTCGTTACAAACTTGTATGAGAATGTCACCAGACCGTGGGACGAACACTATACACAAATTCAATGATTGGAGACACCTAATTTAACCCCATGGAAATCCTACAATGATGAGCAGCCAACTCAGATCCTCAGATTCCATCGATTGCGTTCTTCAGATTACCCCCGAGCAGGGACATGAGTCCGCCACCATGAACCCTACCTTCCGGGATCATGGCATCCAAGCTCTTTCTGGCCCCACTGCTACTGCCGTCGTCCAAACGGGCACCGTAACGACCTGTTCCTTCCTCTGGCTTCTCAGCACTCACGAAAGGTGAAAAGGATGATGAGGACTTCATTGACAGAGGAACCAGAACCTGCGGTGGTATGAGATGTTGTCTTTTCGCTGGCCTCTCCAGCGAATCGTCCGAATCTCCGATTCCTGAGGATGACTGTGTATTATCCAAGCTGCTCCGGGCAGTCGAAGCAGCAGACACAAGCCCATGGAAGAGCCCGGGCCCGATAAGGCCACCTCGGTTGTTCTCCCGCACCTGGACCATGCTGCTGTGCGCGGCGCACAGACCACTCTTACCCCTTGCGAATTTCTCACACTTACCTTCGGGCCATGTGCACCGCTTCCCCCCACCATGCGCCTTACAAAAATCAGTACTGCCCTGGGCACTCTTCCCGCAATTTTCGAATTTGCACCGCTTCCCGCCACCATGCCTCACACAGCAGTCGGTGCGACCTCGCGCACTCTTTGTGCAGCCCGCGATAGCACACCTCTTCCCACCACCATGGGCAACACAAAAGTTCGTGCCCCCATGCACACTTTTTGGGCATATCCCGCCACCATCGAAAAGGCAACGCTTCCCTCCACCGTGCCCCTTGCACAGTGGCGTGCTCCCTTCGGCACCTTTTGTGCACCCGGCAAAGATGCACCTCTTCCCACCACCATGAGCCTTACAGTACATGGTGCTACCTTGGGCCCCCTTTGTGCATGCCAGGTGCTGGCACCTCCGACCACCACCATGAGATATGCACAGGCCAGCCTGGCCTTCAGCACTGCGGGTGCAACCCTCCATCTTACATCTCTTTCCACCACCATGTCTTATGCAGAGCCCCGACTTGCCTCGTGCGGCTTTGTTGCACCCTCTGGGGTGACCACACCGCCTGCCCCCACCATGGGCTATGCAATACTCAGTCTTTCCCTCCGCGCTTTTCGTGCACCCCAGATGCAGACACCTCCTACCCCCACCATGAGCCTTACAATATGCCGTTCGGCTCTCCGCACCTTTGTTGCACCCAGGTTTTTGGCATCTCTGACCGCCCCCATGACCAATACAAAGGCCCGATGCTCCCCGTGCTCCCTTCGTACAACCATGGAACTTGCATTTCTTGGGATTGCTTGTCCTGTGGTCTGAAGATGCTGTTGCAGTAGTTTGCTCGGAAATGGTGCCCATTGACATTTCTGTTGTAGCTGACAGCTCACAGCTTAGTTGTGACTGTTGACAATGAGACTTTGTCCCGAGCTCCAACAGTTCCTGTGTCTGAAAGGATTTCACACTATCCATCCTAGGAGCCAAAAGAAGAGATGGCATGTAACCGCCAGACTTCTTTGCTGATGTAGACCCCTCATCAACGACAGGAATCAGCAATCTACAACGCTCAGCAGACACTTGGCCAGCAATGGTAGCACTAACGTTATTTTCGCCAGAAACTGAACCCTCCAGCATGCTTTGGCCTTCAGAAAGTCCAAGCTTCAAGGTAGAATCGCAATCAGAAGCTAAAGTTCGTGATTGGAAAGCGGCTAATCCTTTGCCCTTGCTAGCTTTACAGTAGCCTTCACAGTAGGCACTTGGCGTGGGGCCCAATCCGAGCACCAATTGACATCCATCTTCGGAAGAGTTGGTAAAGTTGATCTCCAGATTGCCGGCATTTTTTCCGCATCTTGACACATTGCTTCCTCCATAACCAAGGCAATTAAGCCGTAGAGTGGTGTCCCCAAAATGATCGGGTTTAGCAAGTTCATGTGAAAATAGACCACCCTTCTTATTAAGATCCATGGCAGTCATCTTACGCTGTATCACTAACAAAGAGAAGGCCCAAGAAAAGAAATCATTACTAGACTTCAGCAGAGGCAGTACTCCATCCTAATAAAATGCACAAGGAACGCGGATCAAGCTAGGTCCACTGCTCACAAAGCCTGACGTGTCTGACCTATCCATTTTATAATGTACGTCAGGGAACTGATCTTTCAAAAGAAGTGGTTATTTCCAAGAATATCTTATCACGTTTCGAGGATAGAAGCCTTTAATAAGGCCGGTCAGAATCGAGTCCAAAAGATCGTGGGAGCGTCTCCTGCTCCTTGCTAGGTAATTGTCCAGCTTCATTAACCCTACAAATCAGAGAGTAGTCAGCAGTAGCCACATAATAATAGAAGCAGGCATCTAATCTTGATTCGGTAAGATGGGAACTATAAGACGAGAACTACCTAATCGCTGGTACTTCAAACCTTAGGCAACGACTGTGTTTTAATACAGGAAAACAATGGAAGCAATAAATGATAAATCCAGGCAAAACCGGAATAACTATTTCCGAAGGTACACATCTCGGCACTTCTTCAAAAGAAAATTAGAGAAAAGGCTACGATGTTACTTTTGTGTAACGTTAGGTGAGCGGAATTTTGATTTGTGACAGATGTGCACACTAAAGTGCCAAAACTATATATAAAGCCGAGCTTTTACCTCATGAAATATGGAAACAGTGGGAAGGGGAAAATGAAGTGTACGGATGTAAACAAACGGAAAAGAATTGATAAATATTCTAGTAATTGACGACTACATATGACTTTTTCAATTATATTGTTCCTTCCTCTATTGAATCTTGTGAATCACACGAGGAAAAAGGGTAAGAGAGGTATAGTAACCACATCCTGAACCCCCGTCATCTTCATTCTCAAAGATCTAAATATCCATGTTTGGCCGTCAAACTACGGGTAAGGTTCGACCCAATAAAAAAAAAATAATCTACTGGTAAGGCAAAGACACTCGAGAAATGAAGAAAAAGTTTCGATGTACATATCAATATGCTGTCTATAGGGAAAAGATCAACAGTCTATTTCTGAGCAGTTTTAGTCATTAATTACAGTATTCAACGATAGAAAATGGACATAGCAGTTGTTAGCAAGCATGCGCTGCATATGTATATCCATGTCAACATCCATGTGGTCATGATGGATTTCTCATCGCCGGATCCCAGCCAAGTCGAATCGATGTCTGAAATTAGGCAGATTCAGACAATTATCTTCTGCCTTTCGAGGTGCCTCGATACTAAGGAGGACAGGATTCGAATCCAAATTGCAGAGTAGATCCCAACCCGGATGTCTATGCGTCAAATTCGAAATTCATAAGAAAACACCCCTTTTTCCGTAAATCCCAGATTAGAAACGTGCAACCTCAATAATCAGATTCGAGATACCACATAGTTGCAGCAAGCCGGTACAGCTGATAAAGTGAAAAACTGACACTCAATGAAGAACCAACGCAAGTTGACCAGCTCAAGGTCACCCCCGAGAAAACGGAAAAATTCAAATAAAACAAAAAAAAAAATCGCATTGAAGCTACTTTCTGCATCTAAAGGCTCGAACAGATTCACAAGACCTCGTGCACGTAACATCCCGAAGGATGTAAAAACGCAAAACGGAATTCCGACAGAAGCAGCAAGACTCAATTCATTCGACAATCGAAATCGAAACCCCATCAGACACGAAAGCGCATGGCGCAGAAACACAAAGCCGAAGTCCATGGACGACATGGGAAAACCACACAATCGACTTGGAATCCGAGGAAACGGGCTCGTGTCGTCATCGGACACGGGCCGTCCTTCGGTCGGGGACCATTCAGGAACGGCGGAAAACGGGCCAAAAAAGAACAAACAACACCCCGCATCATCATCCCCGGCCCGGAGCGCGAGACGAATCGATCGGAAAACGGAGAAGAAGACGGAAAGCGCGTACCTTGAAGACGACCTCAGGGGATCTGGGAAGCAGCAACCGGGAAGAACATCCCGTGATTCCACCAAACCCAGACATACGAAAGGGAACTGCGAGGATATGAAATGCAACAAGTGGAAAATCACAGGGAGAGAGAAAGAGGGCGCAATTAGGAAAAAATTGCTCGCGTTTAATAATAAATACGTAAAATAATAAATAGAATAATGGATCTGGACGGCTCTAATTCCTCCGATGAGCGGAAGCGGCCGGG